TAAATTTGATTACTCTCTGTACACATAATCAAGCAGCTTTTGTTCTGCAGTGTCTATATAATGTGTTCTGAAGTGTCTATAGAAGGTGTTATGGAGTTTATATATAAGGCGTAGTGTCTTTATAAGGTGTTCTGAAATGTCTATATAAGGTGTTCTGAGGTGTCTATGAAAGGTGTTCTGAAGTGTCTATAGAAGGTGTTCTGGAGTAACTAAATAAGGTAAAAAATTGAGAATGGAAATGGGGAATGTGTCAAAGAGACAACAACCCGACCATAGAACAGACAACAGCAGAAGGTCACCAACAGGTCTTCAATGCAGCGAGAAATTCCCGCACCTGGAGGCGTCCTTCAGCTGGCCCCTAAACAAATATATATACTAGTTCAGTGATAATGAACGCCATACTAAACTCCAAATTGTACACAAGAAACTAAAATTAAAAATAATACAAGACTAACAAAGGCTAGAGGCTCCTGACTTGGGACAGGCGCAAAAAAGGTGTTCTGAAGTGTCTATATAAAGTGTTCTGAAGTGTATTTATAAGGTGTTCTAAAATGTCTATACAAGGTGTTCTGAGATGTCTATAGAAGGTGTTCTGAAGTGTCTATAGAAGGTGTTGTGGAGTATCTATATAAGGTATTCTGAAGTGTCTATAGAAGGTGTTGTGGAGTATCTATATAAGGTGTTCTGAAGTGTCTGTATAAAATGTTCTGAATTGTCTATATAAGGTGTTCTGGAGTGTCTATATAAGGTGTTCTGGAGTGTCTATATAAGGTGTTCTAAAGTGTCTATTAGAAGGTGTTCTGAAGTGTCTATATAAGGTATTCTGGAGTGTCTATAGAAGGTGTTCTGAAGTGTCTATATAAAGTATTCTGAAGTGTCTTCATAAGGTGTTCTGAATTGTATATATACGGTGTTCTGAAGTGTCTATGTATAAAGTGTTCTGAAGTGTCTATAGAAGTTTTTATGGAGTGTCTATATAAAGTGTTCTGAGTTGTCTATATACAGTGTTCTGAAGTGTCTATATAAAGTTTTCTGAAGTGTCTATAGAAGTGTTGTGGAGTGTCTATATAAAGTGTTCTGAAGTGTCTATATAAGATGTTCTGGAGTGTCTTTATGAAGTGTTCTGCAGTGTCTATATAAAGTGTTTTGAAGAGTCTATAGAAGGTGTTCCGAAGTGTCTATATAAAGTGTCCTGAAGTCTTTATATAAGGTATTCTGAAGTGTCTATATAAAGTGTTCTGAAGTGTCTATATGAAGTGTTCTGAAGTGTCTATATGAGGTATTCTGAAGTGTCTATATAAGGTGTTCTGAAGTGTCTATATAAAGTGTTCTGAAGTCTTTTTATAAGGTATTCTGCAGGCTTTTTCTTTGCCAATAACAACATCGATTCATCTTTTACCATCCATAAAACATATATAAGTATAGGGGGAGGGTTGAGATCTCACAAAACCCCGCCGCATTTTTGTGCCTGTCCCAAGTCAGGAGCCTCTGGCCTTTCTTAGTCTTGTATGTTTTTTTGTTTATTTTAGTTAATTTATATGTTTTGGAGTTTAGTGTGACGTCCATTTTCACTGAACTAGTACACAATTTTACTTAGGGGCCAGCTGAAGACCATCTTCGGGTGCGGGAATTTTTCGCTGCGTTGAAGACCCATTGGTGGCCTTTGGCTGTTGTCTGCTCTTTGGTCGGGTTGTTGTCTCTTTGACATATTCCCCATTTCCATTCTCAATTTTACTTCGATTATCATAAATGTATGTGTAGGCGTCTGATCGTACATGCAATTGTGCGATTGGCGGATCCAGGTGGTGTTCCGGGTGTTGGAACACCCCTTTTTTCGATTATTTTTTGTTAAATATTACTTCTGTTATAACATTTCAAGGAGTTTCGGAGGTTGGAATCCCCTTTTTATCTATTTTAAAAAGGGGATTCCAATCTCCAATAAATAGCCATGGATCTGCGTTTCTTTGACTCATAACACTTTAATACAAAATTAAAAAAGTCTGCTTAGTTTCTCTTTATCTTCTTTCGATTTTACTAAAAAAAAAAACACACAAAGAGGGTAAAAATATCCATATTTATGACTCTTAAAAGGTGACAGTCTTCTAAACATATCGGGAAAATTTGACTTGTAAGAAGAATTTGCATTGCTGATCATTTTTTTTTATTTAAAGTGTCTATTTTTTCTACTTTAATTTTTATCATATAAGATTAAATTTGAAAACGCAAAATGGGAAAAAAAAATTAAAAAAAATGGTAAAAAATCGTCAACAAAGGGGAAATAACTTCAATAAGGAGATGTCGGATGATTTCCTAAATATTAGTAATATTGTGTTTGTTATTTGTAATTTTGTCTTTCTCGCCATTTTTGTTGATTTAAGTTTCTATCTATCTATTCTAATTTTTAAGTTATAAGGCAATAACGCAAAAAATGGTAAAAATCGTTATCAAAGGGCAATAACTCTAATAAGGTGTCGACTGACGATTTTGACTAAGCAGACTAATTTCTCTTTGACACATTCCCCATTTCCATTCTCAATTTTAATTTGAAAAACGTGTCATACTGATCGTTTTTGCATTTTCAAGTTTACCTCTGAGTCTATCAACTATAGTTTTCAAGATAACAGGCAAACATATAGTTGTTAATGTCTGTCATTTGGTCTCTTGTGGAGAGTTGTCTCATTGACAAGCATACCAATCTTCTTATCTTTTATAAAAATAAAAATTGAACAAAATTTGTCATTTAAAAGTCGTTTGACAGTATTGACGTATCTAGATAATTAGTAGAGTTCAACATATTAAACATTTTTACTCCTGTAAGATTTACTCTGTTAATAACGGTTTTCCAAAAAATAGACAAAACTTTTTTTATTCATACCTCACATTTGTAAGGTTTTTCACCAGTGTGTTCTCATGTGTCGATGTAATTTTATTTTCGACGGATCCCTTTACACTACATACCTCACATTTGTGATGTTTTTCACCAGTACGTGTTCTCATGTGTTGATGTAATTTCATTTTCGACGTAACTCTATTCTACATATCTCACATATGTAAGGTTTTTCACTAGTACGTGTTCTCATGCGTCGATGTGATTTTATTTTCGACGTAACTTTTTACTACATACCTCACATATGTAAGGTTGTCCACTAGCATGTGTTCTCGTGTGTCTATGTAATTTTATTTTTGACGTAACTCTTTACTACATACCTCACATTTGTAAGGTTTTTCACTAGACAAGTATGTGTTTTCATGTGTCTATGTAATTTTATTTTTAACGTAACTCTTTACAACATACCTCACATTTGTAAGGTTTTTCACTAGTATGTGTTCTCATGTGTCTATGTAATTTTATTTTCGACGTTACTCTTTACTACATACCTCACATTTGTAAGGTTTTCAACTAGTATGTGTTCTCATGTGTTGATGTAATTTTATTTTCGACGTATCTCTTTAATACATACCTCACATTTGTAAGGTTTTTCACCAATGTGTTCTCATGTGTCTGTAAATCTCATTTTCGACGAAAAAATTTACTATATACCTCACATTTGTAAAGTTTTTCACTAACATATATTCTCATGTGTCTATGTAAATCTTATTTTCGACGGAAATCTATTCTACATACCTCACATTTGAAAAGTTTTTTACGAGTGTGATCTCATGTGTTTATGTAAATCTCATTTCCGACGTAACGCTTTACTGCATAGCTCATATTTGTAAGGTTTTTCACTATAGTATGTGTTCTCATGTGTTGATGTAATTTTATTTTCGACGTAACTCTTTACTACATACCTCACATTTGTAAGGTTTTTTACTAGTATGTGTTCTCATGTGTTGATGTAATTTAATTTTTGACGCAACTCTTTACTACATATCTCACATATGTATGGTTTTTCACCAGTGTGTTCTCATGAGTCTGTGTAAATCTCATTTTCGACGAAAATATTTACTATATACTTCACATTTGTAAAGTTTTTCACTAACATATATTCTCATGTGTCTATGTAAATTTTATTTTCGACGGTAATCTATTCTACATACCTCACATTTGTAAAGTTTTTCACGAGTGTGATCTCATGTGTTTATGTAAATCTCATTTTCGTCGGAAATCTTTACAACATACCTCATATTTGTAAGGTTATCACCAGTATGTGTTCTCATGTGTCTATGTAAATCTCATTTTCGATGGAATTCTTTACTACATACCTCATCCCGTTTGTAAGGTTTTCCCCAATGTGATCTCATGTGTCTATAGATATAGGAAGATGTGGTATGAGTGCCAATGAGACAACTCTCCATCCAAGTTACAATTTATAAAAGTAAACCATTATAGATCAAGGTACGGCCTTCAACACGGAGCATTGGCTCACACCGAACAGCAAGCTATAAAGGCCCCCAAAACATTACTAGTGTAAAACCATTCAAACGGAAAAACTAACGGTCTAATCTATATATAAACGAGAAACGAGAAACACGTATGAACTACATAAACAGACGACAACTACTGTAATCAGATTCCTATGTACATTTTATTTTCGACGGAACTATTTACTTCATACCTCACATTTGTAAGGTTTTTGACGAGTGTGGTCTCATGTGTTTATCATATTTATAGATCTCATTTTCTACGGAACTCTTTACTTCATAGCTCATATTGTAAGGTTTTCACCAGTATGTGTTTTCATGTGTCTATTTAATTTCATTTTCGACGGAACTTGTTACTACATACATGACACTTGTAAGGTTTTTACCATATGTGTTCTCGATTGTCTTTTATCATCATCCTTTTGGCTTTATTCACACCTTTCATTACATGTTTTATCATTGTGTCACAAAAAGGATTGAAACAACTCGAAACAGCACAATATCAACACAAACTGTAAAAGGTGGTTGAAAAGGTCTTACCACATCAAACACCAATTACAAAAACGACTATAAAATACCAAGTACCAGTCTAAGGGTTACTAGTAAATAGGTCTTAAAAAAAACAACACGTGACCTCACTGGCTGTTTGGATTGTAATCACAGAAATAGTATAAACATGTAACATGTAATCAAGTAAATAATTTAATTCAACCTATTCTTGATATTAAATAAGTTTATAGAAAACTGACTTGGTATGGGCTTTGCTCATTGTTGAAGGCCGTACGGTGACCTATAGTTGTTAATTTCTGTGTCATTTGGTCATAGAGTTTTGAGGTGTATTCAACATTTTACCACATACAAGGTACATTTCACTGATAAAGATTATAAACTCATCATCAATATGTGTTCTCACAAGTATATGTTTCATAGAGCTTTGAGGTGTATTAAACATTTTACCACATACAATGTATATCACACTGATTATCACTTATACTACAATGAGATGTCAGTCAAAAACACAACATAGTAAGCTTTAACTACATACATCATATTCATTAGGTTTATCATCAGTGTGTGTTCTTGTGTGAACCTGTAAGTCACTCAATCGATTTAAACTTTAACCATATAAAAAAAAATCATTAGGTTTATCCACATTGTGTGTTCTCGTGTGAACCTGTAAGTCACTCAATCGATTAAAACTTTAACCACATAGATCACATTCATTAGGTTTATCATCAGTGTTCTCATGTGAACCTGTAAGTCACTCAATCGATTAAATCTTTACCCACATAGATCACATTCATGAGGTTTATCATCAGTGTGTGTTATTGCGTGAACCTGTAAGTCACTCAATCGATTAAAACTTTAACCACATAGATCACATTCATTAGGTTTATCATCAGTGTGTTCTCATGTGAACCTGTAAGGCACTCAATCGATCAAAACTTTAACCACAACGATCACATTCATTAGGTTTATCACCGTTCTCGTGTGAACCTGTAAGTCACTCAATCGATTAAAACTTTAACCACATAGATCACATTTATAAGGTTTATCATCAGTGTATGTTCTTGTGTGAACCTGTAAGTCACTCAATCGATTAAAACTTTTAACCACATTGATCACATTCATTAGGTTTATTATCAGTGTGTGTTCTTGTGTGAACCTGTAAGTCACTCAATCGATTAAAATTCTAACCATATAAAAAAATCTCATTAGGTTTATCAACATTGTGTGTTCTCGTGTGAACCTGTAAGTCACTCAATCGATTAAAACTTTAACCACATAGATCACATTCATAAGGTTTATTATCAGTGTGTGAACTTGTAAGTCACTAAACCGATTAAAGCTTAACCACATACATCACATTCAGTAGGTTTATCAACATTGTGTGTTCTCGTGTGAACCTGTAAGTCACTCAATCGATTACAACTTTAACCACATAGATCACATTCATTAGGTTTATCATCAGTGTGTTCTCATGTGAACCTGTAAGTCACTCAATTGATTAAAACTTTAACCTCATACATCACATTCATTAGGTTTATCAACATTGCACGTTGTGTGTTTTGATGTGAACTTTAAAATCACGTATCCGAATAAATCCTTCACCACATACATAACATTTATAAAGTTTATCACCGGTGTGTTTACTCATGTGGTTATTTAATAGACCTATATGCTTAAACCCTTTACCACATACACCACATTCATAAGGCCTAGGTTTATCAGCAGTGTGTTTTCTTGTGTGTACGTTTAACTTACAGTTCTGATTAAAGTGTTCCCCAAAAATATTACATTCATGAGGCTTATCACCAGTTTGTGTTCCCATGTGAACTTTAAAGTTATCTAGAGTCATGAACCCTTTACCACAAAACACACATTTAAATGGTTTAACACCAGAGTGTATTCTCATGTGTACTTTTAAGTTACCTTTAGTCATAAACCGTTTACCACACACATCACATTCATAAGGTTTATCGCCAGTGTGTATTCTCATGTGTACTGTTAAGGTACCTAACGTTATAAACCCTTTACCACACACATCACATTTATAAGGTTTATCATCAGTGTGTATTCTCATGTGTACTTTAAAATAACCTATAGTTCTAAACCCTTTACCACACACATCACATTTATAAGGTTTATCATCAGTGTGTATTCTCATGTGTACTTTTAAGTAACCTTTAGTTATAAACTCTTTACGACACACATCACATTTAGAAGGTTTATCAGAGTGTATTCTCATGTGTAGTTTTAAATGATCTATACGTATAAACCCTTTACCACACACATCACATTTATAAGGTTTATCACATGTGTGTATTCTCGTGTGTTGTTTTAAGTTAGCTGCAATTATAAAACTTTTACCACACATATCACATTCATAAGGTTTATCACCAGCGTGTATTCTCATGTGAACATTTAATGTACTTAGGTTTCTTAACTGTTTACCACATACATCACATTGATGATGCTTATAATCAGTGTGTTTAATGATATGTCTTTGTACATTCTGTCTCCTACTAAACCCTTTACCACAAACACCACATTGGTAACGTTTATCTGCAGTGCATTTTTTGATATGTCTATATACATTCTGTCTCCATCTAAACTTTTTACCACACACATCACATTGATAACGTTTATCTGCATTCTGTGGATTCATATGTTCCTCTAACTTTGTATTATATGTTTTCACATGTTCCTTTATCTCTGAACTATTCCATCTTTTCCCACACACACCACATTGATAAGATTTATCACTAGTGTATTCAATCATATGTCTCTGTAACTTCTGCTTCAAAGAAGTTCCTTTACAACAAATAACACATTGCAAAGCCCTATTGTCAGTATGTGTTCTCATATGTGTCTCTAATTTTGTATTAAGTGTTGCCATATATTTCCTTAACTCTGTATTGTGTGTTCTTATATATTCCTCTAACCCTGCATTACATGTTGTCATGTGTTCTCTTGACTCTGCATTATATGTTCTTATATATTCCTTAGATTCGACATTTCGTGTTCTCATTTGTTCACCTATCTCTGCATTATATGTTTTCATTTGTTCTTTTGATGCTCTATTATGTGTTCCCATATGATTCTCTAACTCTGCTTTATATATTTGTGTGTGTCTCCTTAACTCTTTATCATGTGTTCTAATATGTTTCTCTAATGCTTCATTATGGGCTCTTATAGGCTCTAACTCTTTATTATATGTTCTCATCTGTTCCTCTAACTCTGCATTATATGTTCTTAAATGTTCCTCTAACTCTGCATTATGTGTTCTCATGTGTTCCTCTAACTCTAACTCTGCATTATGTGTTTTTGTGTGTTTCTCAAACCCTGCAATATGATTCCATTCTTAACCACAGACTTTACATATATAATTGTTTCTTTTAGCATCATATAATGTTCCACAGGGTGCAGCTTGATACCTCTGCAGAGGTTGAGCCCTGAATATTTGGGACAAGTATGGACACAACATTAAAGCTTGATACAGCTCTGAATTTGGATTGTAATTAAATATTTGAAAAGAACACAATATATTTAATTTTTGTTGAAATCCAACAAAGAAATTCAAAATCTGTATGCACACTTAGATTTGACATATATATCAAAGAACCATAATAAGTTTTTTTTGTTGAAATCAAACAAACTTAAATTTTGGACCCTTTTGACCTCAGTGTGGACCAATTAAAAAATGGGGCCCAAAATCCAAAATCTAAATACAAAGATTAATTAAGCATATTATCAAAGCCAAAGATTAATTTTGGACCTCCTGAACCTCAATGTGGACAAATTTAAAAACAGCCTCAGGGCCCAGAATCCAAAATCATTACTCGGATTAGATTCAGCATATAAAAGAACCCCAAGAACTCAAGACTATGAATTGAACCCTATTGAAGTTAGTCAAGAAATAAGCAATTTATACAAACTTTTAGAATCTTCCATTTTTGGTATAGTACCTTGTGGTACAACTTCATAGAGATTCGTTTACTTATACACAAGTTATTGTCCCGAAACAAGAAAATCATTAATGTGTGTTTTTGGTCCTTTTTTGGTCCCTTATTCCTGAACAGTTATAAAACAACCCCCAAAACAATCATTCCCAACCTTCTTTTTGTGGTATTGAACCTTGTGCATGTTGTGGTAAATTTCATAGAGATCGATACACTTATACACAAGTTATTGTCCTGAAACTAGAAAAATGTGTTTTTTGGTCCCATTTTTTGCCCCTTAGTCCTGAACAGTTATAAATAACAATTACCCCCAAAATAATCATTCCCAACCGTCCTTTTGTGGTATTGAACCTTGTGGTAAAATTTCATAGAGATCCATACAAATACTCAAATTATTTTAATGAAATCACATTCTTCGGATGACAACCACATTAAAAATGTTGTGGCCTTATAAAACCAGAACAACAACAACAAAATTATATGTGACTGTCATACAAGTGAGAGGTTTAGCTAGTTATAAAACCAGGTCTAATCCATCATTTTCTACATAATTGATAAGGAAATGTCTGTACCAAGGAAAGAATGTGATAGTTGTTTTCTATTCGTTTGATGTGTATGAGCTTTTGATTTTACCATTTGTTAAGGGACTTTCCATTTGAATATTCCTTTGAGTTTGGTATTTGTAAAATCAATGCACTAGCCTTTAATTCAGTGGTTGTCGTTTGTTGCTGTGAATCATATTTGTGTTTCATATAACAATGAGTGCTACATGTGGAGCAAGTTCTGTTTACCCGTCCAAAGCACCTAAGATCACTCTAGTTTTTGGTGGGGTTTGTGTTGCTCAGTCTTGTGTTTTGTGTACTATTGTTTGTCTGTCTGTCTGTTTCTAGTTTAGTCATGGCGTTGTCAGTTTATTTCCGACTTGTGAGTTTGAATGTCCCTTTGTTATCTTGTCTCTATTGCACATAAATCAGGACCTTGGTTTTCTTGTTTGAATTGTTTTACATTTGTCATTTGGGTGCCTGTTATTGCTTGCTAGGGCTGACGGCTTTTGATCAGAGTTAATTACTGTGATTGCTATGGTGACCTATATTTTCTAACTTTGACGTCATTTGATCACTGCGTGATGTTATTTCATATGCAATAATTTTTCTATATTTGTGATACTTTGTTCAGCGTATTCAATACATATTTTTTTTTCTAATTTGTGCCAGTGAATTTGCGTTTTTTCATTTTTTTTAAATGACCTTGAAATAAATAAATTAGTTAATATGTCATATTCTAAGACAAGCATACCTCTGCTGTTCTCGAGATGAGTAGATGTACTAGGGATAACTAAGGTACTTTTATTGGCTATGGTCATCTCACTAATTGCTGAAAAAGACCAATTAGTGATGTTGAGATTATCAATTTATAATCATTTTTTTTACAAATCCAAATTGCTTATATTATCTGGAAAACCATGAAAACTTAACAGTAATCAATGAAACAAGAAAATGTGGGTAAGGTCAGATGAAAGTTCCACATGTGGTTCTTACAATCATTCCATACACCAGCTGACCTATTGCTTATATTATAAATAGTATCTGAGATACAAACTCGCATCTTTAATCGTAACTTTTTTTTCCCATTGTACAATCAAAGTGCTTGTAAGCACTGAAGAGTACAGACTGCTTTAATTTATCAGTAGGAAGTAAAATTTAATATTGCATTGTAAACACATTGGTAATGTTGGTTGTAGTTGAGTATATGTGGACAAAGGAAGAATAACTCTATTTTTTAAAGATTACTTTAGCAATGACATCATTGATATTTTTAGAACAGATATTAGATTACTGCGCCTTGCACAAGTTATGCAATTTTGATTGACAAGTATTACATCATTTTGAAACTTGAATATCAGAGCATATAGTATTTCATTAATAAATTTCTGGAAATGTTCGTGAATAGGATGTTTAGAATATATCAATGCACTTTATTTTGTGTATTTCAAAAGTAGTGATACATTGGAAGATTTAGATATCAAGTCAGTACCAGAGGGTTTTGATTGTATTTCATGCAATCTTTACCCAAAAATCACAATAATACAATTGATGCACAAAATCTTGTGTCCCTAAATGGCAAGGATCTGACAACACTTTGTTTCACTTTTGTTCCACTTTGTTCCACATTGTTCCACTTTCTATTCTGGTAAAAAATACATAAGTTACTGACATTTATGCCTCAATATGTTGAGTGGGTGTATCATTACAATAAAACCAGTGGATCCCGAAAGATCTTTTAAACAAAAAGCCGAGCTTAGCGATGTCAGATCCTTGTAAGCTTTATCTGGACACGGGATCTGTATATCATTAAATTTACTGTTGATTCATTGTCATGCGCGTAGCTACGTTTACGTCAAAATGCCCGGGCGTGCACTTGAAATTTGATAAGAAAAATATTTTCATCTAAATAAAATAAAAAGAACTGGCTAAAAGCACATCAGCCTTATAATTCTTTCTTTAATGGTTTGAAATTGCGTATAAAAGTGACGAAAATAAGTACCATATTATATATTTGTTCATTAGATTGTACAAAATCAAACCTGTCATTAGTTTTGGGGGTCCAGTAAGAAAATCCAGGCTAGAATTGCTTGCTGTTGCCATGAGGGCGTGGTGTCGAGGTTGGTCCTGATGTCAGGGACTGGACAGGCATTCTAACACCTGAACTTTGATTGGTCATTGATGAACCCCTAACCATGAGACGAGATAATAACTTGATACGAATACCTTGTGGCTCCTGTGCAAGACCAGGGCCCATTGATGTGGTACTGACTGGTTGAGACTTATGAATAAGACTAGGGATACCAGTCAGAACAGACGGTGACGATGGCTTGGTACTTGGTAAAGACATCAGCGCTCCCGCAATGCTTGTTATACTCTTGTTCAACTACAAAGATAATAATAACCACGTCACACAAATAGATAAGAATAGGAGAAGCGGCTATTTAAACATGATATTAAACAGCCAGTAAAAGACGATAAATTTTCACTTCTTTTCTTGTACTATACACAACAAATTTATTTAGTTTGTATTATATACTTTCAATCTCCTCACAACAAAATTATTGAGCGTTAGCGAGTGAAAAAAAAAATAAATGAAAACACAGGCAAAAAAAACAATCATTACATACCTGAGGAACAGGTGAAAAACATTCTGATTCTGGGTATGTGGCTATAATTCTAGCTTGCTGTACTTCAGGTTGCTGTATTTGCTGTGCTTGCTTCTGTATCTCTTGCTGTAGAAGGTGCACTGGGATGGTAACTCTTTCTTCTGCCGTTGTTTCTTTCTGAAGCGTAGCTACCACAGACATTGGTACTGTTATGAAATGTTCCCCGTGTTTCAGAGTTGAGGTGATTGTTTGAGCCTGTGAGACTGCCATAACACTTTGACCCTGACCTGAAAGGCTCATAAGCATTTTGGAAGGAGTAATAAAGATGTCAGATCTCTCAGTTAGCGTGGTTGGATCAGGTACTCCCGACGTAGGATCAGATGGAGAATCTGTCTTCCGCATTTGATCCATCAATGTGACATACGGTACTCCCGACGTAGGATCAATATCTGTAATAGAGGGCATTTTCGGCATACCTGAAAGAAGAATGTGTCCATAGAACACAGATGCCCCACTCGCATCATTTTCTATGTTCCGTGGACCGTGAAATTGGGGTCAAAACTCTAATTTGGCTTTAAAATTAGAAAGATCAATCATATCATATATAGGGAACATGTGTAAAAAGTTTCAAGTTGATTAAACTTCAACTTCATCAAAAACTACCTTGACCGAAAACTTTAACCTGAAGCGGGACAGACGGACGAACGGATAGTGTTTCTGTGTTAGCCATAAAAATAAATCAATTGTTTCTTTATGACAGATTATTGTAAACTAGAAGTGTGCTTGAACTCATAGGCAGATGAAAACTTTTGTCTTGCATTTGTTTTAGTTGTAATCTCTGTCCTGCTTTTTTTATTTTTTCACACTTTTCGATCCTGCTTTTTTTATAAGTTTACCCTGAACTTTTTACATCAATTGTCATTCTGCCTGTATTCTTTTTGCCAAGTTCCTCATCCTGCCATTTTGGAGAGTTGTCTCATTGGCAATCATACCACATCTCCTTTTATACTTATTTACAAAATACAAAAATAGTTCTGTATCATTTGTTTGAGCATGTGAGTGAATGATGGCTTTAGGAATACTGTTATGCTGTTTTGGGGCAATTTAATTCTTTGTTATCTGTTTCTGAAAATATATTTGCTGTTAGCTGTTATTGTCTTATTCCTTGTTAGCTGTTATAGGACTATTATTTTTTTTGTTATCTGTTATTGTGAGAATGTATTTGCTGTTAACTGTTATTGACAATTGGAATGTTAGCATTTTGACATCCAATCTTCAGTAGAAATTGAAGATAATTGAACATTGTGACTTGGATGGAGAGTTGTCTCATTGGCACTCATACCACATCTTCTTATATCTATTAGGGTCTTTCCACTGGCACTGTTAATAAGGTGGTCCCTTATTTGCAGAAGGATTCCAGTAACATACATCACATAAACAAAAAAAACAACAATCGGATCCATTCCAGTATATATTATTATTATCATTTGTAATAAATTCCATTGTCTTTGAACATGTATTTAGATTATCATTTTGTACAAATTATAATTTGTATTTTGACTTTGTACACATTTTTTGTACAAAGACTTTTTTGTAACAATTTGTACAAAATTTGACGAAAATTCACTTATAACTTGTACAATAAGTTATAGTATGAATTTTGTTATAAAAAAAAACATCGGTACACCCTATAGAATTTTTATTCAATGACCACATAATAAACCTTATGTTGTACTGTTACACCACTGTCCCAGGTTAGGGGAGGGTTGGGCGCCAACTAACATGTTTAACCCCGCCACATTCTGTATGTGGCTGTCCCAAGTCAGGAGCCTGTAATTCAGTGGTTGTCGTTTGTTGCTGTGTTACTAAGTTTTTCGTTCATTATTTTGTAGATAAATTAGGCTGTTAGTTTTCTCGTTTGAATTGTTTTACATTTGTCATTTCATGGCCTTTTATAGCTGACTATGCGGTATGGGTTTGCTCATTGTTGAAGGCCGTTTGATGGGCTTTTTTTTGTCTCTTTTGGAGAGTTGTCTCGTTGGCAATCATACCACATCTCCTTTTATACTTATTTACAAAATACAAAAATAGCTCTGTATCATTTGTTTGAGCATGTGAGTGAATTATGGCTTTAGGAATTACACATCTTTTGCATTTAGCATTTACATTTAGAAGCGCTACTCCCCCTCTTTGCATTTACATCAAAGAGGACCCTGACCACCAGTTTTTTGAAAGCTTTTTACCTGCTTCACATAGCGAAAGTTGAAGCTCAGAAACTGTTGATGCAAACAAAGATGTGTCTTTAACAGCTTCAATTTAATTTCTCGACAAATATCCTTTAAAATATCCTACAGCTGTTCCAGTGCGGTACCCAAATTCTCCATGTTCAATAATATCACAAAAGACACATTGGTGTTTTACTTGGTGTCATCCAAATTGTCACTCGGGCCAATTTCTATCATATTATCAGAATTGTCAGTTGGGCCAATTTCTATTATACTATCAGAATAGTCATCATCATCATACTTTATTTCCTCCTATAGGAGATTGACATAAGACAAAATGCATATATTATGTACAATTATAAAGTTTTGAAATCACAAAATTAGAAATGTCACTTAATATTTTGAATGGAAAAGTATTTACAGTTTACAGTATTTTAGGAAGGAAAATCCTTCGTTAAGGACTTCCAAACAATGCTCTGGTGTTAAAATGTCACAGAGATCTTCCTGATTGCCAAGCAGATGATCCGAGAAGCTCTCGTCCGATTTTAAAATCCATTATGTACACGAAATTGTCACTATAGTCAATTCTGTTAATCTGTTTTATAGTGAAAGTCTCTGTGATTGAAGTTCTGTGCACATACATATTTGGTGGTTCAGTATATCTTGAACAAAGTGTTCACACAATTTGCAAAAGTCTGCCATTATTTTTTGCATATTGCCACAGGAAATCATAGTTATTGTTTTCAGACCAATTTCTATTATATTATCAGAAATAACTGTAACTGGCATGCATGTATCAATTACATTTCCTGTCTACATCTGTGTATTTTTGTATTTTATAACTAAGGTTTTTTTTATGGTTATTGAATAAAAATTCTATAGTGTGCATCAATTATTTTTTATAACAAAATCCATACTATAAATTGCTTTTCAGAAAAAAACGTTCTAAAATTCAAATTAATATATGGGGTCACTGGCTTCATTTTCTTGAAAAATAAAAAAAAAAAAAAACACAAAAATTGATCTATCAAATGCCCTTGATTTTAAATTATTCCTTTATCAAAAACAGAAACTAGTAATTTTGTTCAGAAAATTTCAACATCCGTACTATAAATTATTGTTTAAGTTTTAAGTGAATTTAAGTTTAAATTTGTACTAATTGTAATTTGTACATGCACTTTTTGTACAAATTACAATTTGTACAAAGTCAAAATACAAATTATAATTTGTACATTTTTTTTGTACAAATCATAATTTGAACAAATTATAACTTGTACACAACATATATAAAAGACGTTTATGTTAAGGTCGTATGGACCTAGGCCTATCCTCATCAGGTATCCCTATTATAGCCATAAGTTTTCCTTTTTCTTGATATTAAGAATTGTCTGAATTTGAATTTTACGTATATATGGCGATAATGTTCCTTGTACCCCCATGCGTACATATTAAATTCAAATCATTTATTAATATAACAAAAAGGAAAACATATGGCCAGGGATACCTGATGAGGATCATAATTAAAATGTATATATATGTCTCTGTTAAGGCCTAGCTAGGTCCATACAACCAGTTATATGTATATAATAAGATCTACTGGATTGGTCGTGGACCGTACTGATTTTAATATTTCATTTACTGTTATCTGTTTTTATCCCTATTCAATTCCTTGTTATCTGTTTTAAGCCAAATCAATTCACTGTTTTGCTGTTATTGGAACCCCCCTTGCCCCCCTCTTTGTTATACTTAAAAGAGGGACGAACGATACCAGAGGGACAGTCAAACTCATAGATCGAAAACAAACTGACAACGCCATGGCCAAAAATAAAAAGACAAACAGACAAATAATAGTACAGATGACACAACATAGAAAACTAAAGACTAAGCAACACGAACCCCACCAAAAACTGGTTAAGACTCCTGTCCTGCCTTTTTTTTAAATTTCATCCTACCCCCACCCTCCCACTGAAAAATCAAATGGTAGCTCCTTAACATAAGTCAAAAAGCTGATAGCCCTGAGGTGGAAGAAGATACGTGAAAGGATGACTTAAAGTTCTATGAAAACAGACCAAACCAACCCTCCTGTTATGTCCATTGTTGCTTTCGACATATTTTTGTCCTAAAAACATAATACACTGATGTCTCCACCAATACAGAATAAACTTAACGTAAATATCTCATAACATTGTTGATACAAATTAAATTTTCTATAATTCCATACATTGCATCACAGCATGTTCAGCCTGAGAGAAGCAAATATACCAGGAATTGATTAGGATTCACTTGAAAGTTTTTCTATCGAAGGTTGTTACTCACTTTAGGTATTCCATGGTCAAAAACAATGATTTTCGAAAAGTGTGCTGAAAGTGGGGTTATAATTAACACCAACATCAATCAATCATGAATTTGTATAATTGTTTACGGTTACTTGTTTTTGTTTCGTTATAAAATATATCCAATGTAGATTTTGAAAGTTGCAGGTATTAACACTTAAGTCTCCTTAGAATTTTTAATTTGATCACTAATAACCGGAAACCCAACAATCAATCATGAACTGTTCTAGTTGTTATCATATTGGGGAAGCGGTTCAAATCCGTGACGTCATTAATTGATTTTTTTATGTTTGTTCTTATGTTGTACTGTTACACAATTGTCCCTGGTCAGAAAATTGTAAAAGAGGGGCGAAAGATACCAGAGGGACAGTCAAACTCATAGATCGAAAACAAAAAAGCCGTGGCTAAAAAGAGAAAAAGACAAACAAATATAAGTACATAAGACACAACATAGAAAACTAAAGAATAAGCAATTAACACGAACCCCACCAAAAACTGGGGGTGATCTCAGGTGCTCCGGAAGGGAAAGCAGATCCTGCTCCACATGTGGCACCGTTCGTGTTATAACAAACCCAGTAAATAGTCAAATTTGGTAGGTCACATTAGTGAAAAGGGAACAGGATTGTAGTTACGACATAAGGAACATATCCGATATCATCTGTGAAACGGATATTCCATAGCGTTCAACCAACTCGTGATGGTGTCCGTAAAATTTAAGAAGGGATGATTTTAACTTCACCATTTGGAACTCTTGGTATAATAGCTTCCGGAGTTCAGTATTTTTGTGATTTTACTTTTTCCTTGTGAGCAGCAACCCTCTATCAATGTAATAATTGTATTACAAAATTCAATTCCTTGTGTCAAACAATTGGACTGACACTGTAACAACATATGTCAGACATTTCAAATTTTTAATCATAGGCGGATCCAGGGGGGGGGAGGGGCCTGGGGGGCCCGGGCCCCCCCTTTCGTGGGAAAAATTTGGTTGATTATATAGGGAATCACTGAAGCGTGACTTGAGCCTCCCCCCCCTAAGGTCAGTCAGCAGGCCCCCCCCTTACAAAAAGTTCTGGATCCGCCACTGTTAATGATCTGGGCTATGTATGGCCCAGGTCGTACTATATCGTGAGAGCCAAAAAGACAGACACTGAAACTGGTTATTTTAAGTGAGGATTTATTTCATAAACTGAACATAGACTCTTAGTCCCTAAATGGAATTGCTAGTTCCTTAGGACTAATGAAAATCTGCTTCTATAAATATAAAAGAACAGATTTCCAATGTCCCCCACGTTTCACATATTTTATCTATCCAAGGTACAAGGGCAATAACTCAAATAAATGGGGAAAGTGTCTAATAGTGGGACACAGCTGATGCTACCAAAATTTGTACTTGATCTGTGTTTTGTAGTAATAAATATTGTGTATAAGATTCATAACATTGTGTTGAGACAAACGGATCTTTAAGTAGTGAACGGAAACCAATTTTGGGACATACGGACAGACAAGGGTAAAACTTAATGCACCCTCCGCGACGGCAGGGGCATAAAAATCCCTTTTTTGTTCTTTAAAACATTTTATTAATATCTTAAGAGAAATCAAGGCTTCAGAGCAAATGTAATGTGATTTCCATTAATTTATATTTCCAAGGGGCATAACTCTGACATTAAAAATATTTTATCAGAACTTATTTTCGAAAGTGTCAGACATTGCTGATATAAACTTATGATATATGTTTTATTAAATTCAGGCAATAATTGAACACATGAGAGAGATAACACTGCAATTTTCCATATAATCAATGTTTTCAAGGGGCATAACTCTTTTAAAAATAACTGATAGGCAATGATTTTCGAACTCATACAAGATATTGCTGATACAAACCTATGATATTAGTTTTCTTCTTCTTTCAGTTTCAAGCGATCCTTCAATTATTGAAGATTATTCGCCGGGCGTCGAATATACAAATTAATTTATATAATTTACAAGATAGCCAGAAAAAATGAAACAAAATCGAAAATCAAGATAATCATGTATGTACATTTGAAAAATAACATTTAGATAAAACTATATACATTTGATAACAATAATAGTTCAGGATAGAAAATAGGCCTAAGGGATGAGAGCAGATTCTGGGATCATACGCTTGAATCCCTGTACTGTACTGAATGACACTATTTTTTGTGGCAGATGGTTCCAATCTATAACTGTACGTGGATAAAATGAATATTTATACCTGTCTTTAGATGTTTGTATTTGCCTAACTGAGTGTGGATTGCTATGTCTAGTTCTATTGTCTAGTGGGATCAAAAGGTTAAAAGTAGGGACTGCAACAATTGTGTGTATAATTTTGTAGAAGAAAACAAGTGTGTATCTTATTTCAAGTGGGTACCAATTTAAGTCTGTCATCATTTCAGTCACTGGACTGGTGTTATGGAAGCGGTTGCATGTGAACCGGGCTGCTCTTCTCTGAACTTTTACAATTTGTGAAATTTGCTATTTTTAATGTGGATCCCAAATGGTTGAGCAGTACTCTAATTTTGGTCGGACAAGAGCTTTAAATGCATGAGCTTTAACTTTAGGTGAGGCTATTTTACGGTTTCTACGAATAAATCCAAGAGACTGATGGTTGCTCCCTTAGGGATGAGGGATGCCACGACCGGTCTGTATTTATGTTTGATGCTTTTCTTTGTATAGATCTGACGATGATGATGGAAGTTTTTAACGACCTTGACTGGCTATACAGTAGTTTGATAAGTTAAACCTTACTAAACTGATTTAAATAGTTTGTTCTTATGTTGTGTTGTTTTATACACCACTGTCCCAGGGTTGAGCGCTCACAAACAGGTTAAACCCCGCCACATTCTTTATGTGTCTATCCCAGGTCAGGAGCCAGTAATTCTTGTTGATTCATGTCTGTCATATTTGTTTTTTCGTAAATTGTTTTGTTATAAATTAGGCCGTTAGTTTTCTCAATTGAATTGTTTCATATTTGTCATGTCGGGGCCTTTTATATCTGATTATACAGTATGGGTTTTCCTCATTGTTGAAGGCCGTATGGTTGCCTATAAAAGCCCTATAATTGCTAACATCCACTTTATTCGAACTTTGTTGCATATATATAGTTGTTTCATTGGCAATCATACCTCATCTCCATATCTATATATTAATCAATTAAGATTGGAATTGAAAGCAATTGCTACATGCTAAGTTGAACTCACAACTTCAGCATTATCAATAGATATATAAGAAGATATGGTTTGAATGCAAATGAGACAACTCTCCATGGATACAAGTCACAAATTGTAAAAGTAAACAATTATAGGTCAAAGTTCGGCCTTAAACACGGAGCCTTGGCTCACAAGAAACAGCAAGCTATAAACCCTTTAAGGGCCCCAAAAATGACTAGTGAAAAACCAGTCAAGCGTCTATGAAATATTAACAAATCAATGGTATGGTGTTAAGCATACAAATAAAAGAGAGGCAAAATATACCATAAGGATATTTAAACTCATAAAATACAACACAAAAAAAATAAAAACTGAGCAAAACAAACCCCACGGTCACAAAAAAAAAACACAATCGCGTCCCCCTTTTCCCCAAATCTGACCTACCAAATTCACCTATCACCAGGTTTGTACTTACACGTGTTACATAAGCAACTGTCATCGGATGCCACTTAAAGAGCAGAATCTGCTGAGGGAGCTACCATTTGATTTTTATGGGGGGGGGCTAGGATGAAAAAAATTGTCCTGCCTTTTTATTTTTCCCTCTATTCGGTCCTGCTTTTTTTTTTTTATAGTTTATCCTGTATTTTTTATTTAACTAAATCGTCATCCTGCCTTTTTATTTTGAAAATAATCTCATCCTGCCTTTTTTTTTACTCAAAACTCCTGTCCTGCCTATTTTTTTCAAATTTCATCCTAGCCCTCCCCCCCCCCCCCCCCTTAAAATCAAATGGCTCCCTTACACTTCCGGAGCACCTGAAATCACTCCTGTTTTTGTGGGACTCGTGTTGCTCAGTCTTCTTTGGTTTTTGTCACAATGAGTTGGCATTAATTGATATCTTAAAAGTATGTACTTGTTACTTCCCTCCTGGTAATTAGGTAAAACAATGATTTTTTTTTAAATATTTCAAATGTCATGAACTTTTAACAATCGAATGCTTAACCAAGAGAGTAGGAATGCCCTTTACGTCAGGCGTCAAACATTCATTTTTGGCTACTGTAAGCATCAAATTGGTAAAATTTTTATTGTGATTTGTCAAAATATCCTTATTGTGATTCGTTGGAGGTCTTATATATTAACATTTACCGTTATTTTTGGAATCAATTTATCAATTAAACATGATCATGATGATTCTTCAAAATCAATTGATTTTTTATCATCATAAAGAAATTGTACATTTTATTGTCATGCACAAAAATTACTGTTAACGTCATTTAGCAAGATCCCCCAAGAATTAGAAATATGTTTTTTGGCCTTACTGTTGGATTTAAAATTAATAGATTTTGACATGATCCAAAACTTGTACTGATGAGGGTGAAAAAAGGTTCGTTTTTCACCGTGTTTAGTGAAATCAGTAAAAAGATCAATGTACAAAAAAATTTTAATTGTTCGTTCATCGTGAAAATACAATTTTATATCGCGTTTATATCGCGTTCCTCCATGCAGATACCTCCTTTACGCCCCTTACTGATGTATCCTTCTTTGTTGATTATTTTATCAGGGGTTTCATTATCTTTCATGTTGGCTGCTACTTTTCTTATTTGTATGTGGTACTTTTCTTATTTGACTTGTACGTGGTACTTTTCTTATTTGTACGTGGTAATTTTCTTATTTGTACCTGGAACTTTTCTTATTTGTACCTGGTAGTTTTCTTATTTGTAGGTGGTACTTTTCTTATTTGTATGGGGTACTTTTCTTATTTGTATGTGGTACTTTTCTTTTTTGTATGTGGTAATTTTCTTATTTGTATGTGGTACTTTTCTCATTTGTATGAGGTACTTTTCTTATTTGTATGTGGTACTTTTCTTATTTGTATGTGGTACTTTTCTTATTTGTACGTGGTACTTTTCAATATAGTCCATGAATATCTTGAATAACATGTATAAAATTGCTTCAATCCTTATTTAGGTAGTACTTATCAGTAGCATAGGAGGATAAAAGTACTGGGTACCAGTCCACATGAATGACCTGCTGTTTTCCTTTGTTTGGTACCCACCTGATATTGCATTACTGCTAGGGACTGGTGCTGGTGATGGCCTCCCACCACAAATAACAACTGATGCTTCTTTTTCTACTGAATTCTCATCTTTATTGTCTTTCTTCGCTCTTTTACTTCTGGTCTGCATGGTCGGAGTTGTTCCCCCTGAGGAACCTCTCTTCTATGGAGTCTAATAAATCCTGTAAGATCATATCATTACAGTAATTGTACTCTACTTGTCTATTGGTTTTGTATAATTGCATGCTTTGCATGTTCTTATAATCTCCTGAACAGATTTATTAAGCCTTAATAATATACTTTACACTGTATATATAACATTTATTCTTCATTCTGTCATTTATTCATTGTTTTGTTAGCCCGTTAGTTTTCTTGTTTAAATTGTTTTACATTTGTCATTTCGGGTCCTTTTATAACTGACTATGTGGTATGGGTTTTGTTCATTGATGAAGGCTGTACTGTGACCTAATGGTCCAATATCCAAAATCAAAATACATGGTTAGATTCATCAAATCAAAGAACCCAAAGAATTCTATTTTTAAGGAAATAATACAAACTTTAATTTTTGACCCTAAGGACCTCAATGTGGACCAATTTAAAAATGGGCCAAATTCAAAATCTTTAATACACTCATTGCACAGTTAGATTCAGCATATTAACATGATTAAAGAACCCAAAGCCATGATGCAACTCTAGTTTTAGATTTGTTTTAAATATTCAAAAATATTCAATAATTCAAAAACTTGAATCTACAGTAGTACAATGTAGTACTGTACATGTAGTATGGTTCGAATGCAAAATTAAAATAGAAAATATAACTGTCTCGAATGGATAAATATCGTAACACACACGATACAGTGGTAGAATCTATATAACTCTGTTATAATAAAGTGTACGTTGTTTGATAACATTATCAAATAAATGTTAATTGGGCGGTCCGTAGACACATTTATTTAGCAAAAAGCCAAAAATAATATCGGAAATAATTTTAAAAGTAAACGACATTCTACGAAATAGTTCTTTAAAATGAACATCAGTCATATCAAAAATAATGTATAAAATATCAATGTCAACTTACACTTGAACTGACTGTGTCTCGACCGTATAAAAAAATCAAAAAACAAATGTACGCAGCAAATTGAAATCAAAGGGAGTTAACCACGCATAAATACTTACGGAACGCCTGTAATACAAAAACCAAGTTTTATTTTTACAATATGACCATAAGCCCCCAGGGGCGGATCCGGGGTTTTAGGTTAAGGTGGGCGCAAAACTTAAAGTTTGACCGAGCGGATCGTCCCTCTGGTGTCTTTCGCCTCTCTTTAAAATAACTTGGCAGGAAATAACGTATGTAGGCCTACACAAGTAGGGCAAAATATTTCGGGTAGACTTTGTAAGACGTAACACCACCAACTCGGGTATGACATTGAATTGTCGGTCTTTCTCCTGCAAATTTTCACTCCTTTGCAAATTGGGATTTTATTGCAGGTGTTCAATTTTGCTACTTGTCTTAAAAAAAAAGGTTTGGCAAAAATTTGTGAATGTAATATGACCACCTTTACATGCTATCTAACTCTTGTCAGTAACAAAGTGAATGAGACAAATTACTTGTAGCATTTTGGTTTTAGAGTTAAATACTTTTTTAAATGAAACAGGAAAGGAGATGCTGGGATGGCTTAATGTGGAAGCAATCCAGCAACACAGATATACAACAGAAATCAGGCTAGAACCTATTCCTGGAAATCTATATAGCTACCATGCAGTTCATCCTAAATGTTAATGTTCGACGTCAGAAAATTGATTCGTGATTGCATATTCACGATTATTAGTATTTATACCCATTGTTTTCACTCCTGACATAGGTAATTGCGCATGGTCAATATGTTTCATTTGAGCAATTTGATATGTCTGAAGCCTCAAGATATCAGAAGTCACTGCATCCATGAGAACACACATTAAACATGATACAATTGTTTAATTGCAAGACAAAGACATTTTTAAAAAGCAATGACATATACTACAGTTTCATTTTCAATTTTGGAGAAAAGTATTTATAAACAGAAAGACATACTACCCAGGAAACACACAACGTAAGCACGACGTAATAATTTGGTCGTATATGTAAGTAACCACTGACGTTACCTTAGTTTGACGTCATTGTGACAGACAATTAATGCAATATGTTATTCTCTTTTTGATGGAATTTTGGTGCTTTGTATTATATATACCATGGTTCTTACGAGTTTATTAACATATTTAAACAAACTAATCCGAAGGATGCGCCCGTGTATGATCGGCTGTCTGCGTTTTTCATTTAGAAAGTAAAGAAAAATGTCGAAACAAGCAAAATGGACATAAAAATTATTCTGGTGATGGTAAGTTTTGTTGAATTGTTAATTTTCAAGATATATCATTTCAAATCAAAGTTATCTGATAGATTTTATTACAATGTATTACATCAATTATTTAAACACAGTTTTAAGCACATTTGCCAAACACTTAACAGTGGCGGATCCAGGGAGCCCCCCCCCCCCCCCCCCCCGCCCCCCCCCCCCAACTTTAAATGAAATTAAATAGAATTTTTGCAAAGGAACAATTTTGTATTTATTATTTTCAGAACTGAAAGAAGAAACGTACATATACTTTTAAGTAATTTTTTTCAAGCTTTAGGAACTCGTTTAATTCCTATTTTAGGTATCTTGACTAAAAGTTGTTTATAAATGATTTCTTAATTTATGTTATAAAGTGAAAATAAATAAATGTTCATGACCATTCAAATATTTCAGAGGCGGATATCTCTCAAAAAATGGGACGGAGCTTCAACCATGGAATAACATAAAAATGAATATGTTGTACCATAGCTAAGCTCCGCCTTCTTTCCTTCAGATTCTAGTTGAGTTGCATATTAACTATCAAAGTGTGGTACAACATCAAATTGCAGATAACATACCATGGTTTTCCCTCAACACACATTTTAAGCAAATTATTTCATCAAAAAATCAAAAGAAAAAATACAATTTATATTACAATTGATATTAAAACATTGAATGATATATAAATTACACAACAAAATACACACGAAATTATAGTACAACGAAACGATCATTATTTTATGTATCACGTGTATAACAACTGAAAGTACAGTGTATACTCTAATTATTTTCATTTACCTGTGTTTAAAGTAATTGCAAATGGCTGATATTTTTGTTCAATCATATTGTTTTTCTTAAATTGTTTAACATTTCACAGCGGTATAACATGTTACTTCAATTATTCTTCCCTTAGATTATTTATTTTGTATAAACATTGTATCATAGATCAAATTTATTTGTTCAGTGTATGTTCACTGGTGTTAATATGTCTTTTGATTGAGTTAAGCCATTTCAATTGATATTTTATAGTGTGTCTTTCCATGTTGTGATTTTACACTATTGTTTCCGATAAGGGTGAAGATTTGGTACAATTAAAACGTTTAAACCTGCTGCGATTGTTTGCACCTGTCCTAAGTCAGGAATCTGATGTTCAGTAGTTGTCGTTTATTGATGTGGTTCATAAGTGTTTCTCGTTTTTCGTTTTTTATATAGATTAGACCGTTGGTTTTCCCGTTTGAATGGTTTTACTCTAGTAATTTTTGGGGCCCTTTATAGCTTGCTGTTCGGTGTGAGCCAAGGCTCCGTGTTGAAGACCGTACTTTGACCTATAATGGTTTA